CCCCCCCCCCTGTGGGAGGGAGCGGCTGTGGCGGCGAGAAATGCATCCACTCCATTCCTCTTCTTTTGCTCCTCCGCCTCCGCCATGTTCCCCATATTTGCCCATCGCGCCACCCTTGCCGGCCTCTTCGGGATTCACTCCCTTACGTGACGTGTGATGTGAGGATCATGTGGCCACGACGCACACCGGGGCGAACCCCTCAGGAAACGCAGACCAGGGCGGTGTTCCGGCCACCCGCGCCCCGGGGCGGGCGGCGGGCCGTTATATCCCTCGCCCTTTGTGCGCCCGCCGCGCCTTCCCCTTGCGGGGGGCGGGGAGGGGGGGACCGAACACAGCAGACCCCCCCGCCTGCTCCTCTGGGGCCGGGACTGGGGCCGAGATGGGTGGTGAATGGCCTGAGGGCATGCTACGGCGGCTGTGGCCCCCAGGCTGCCGCGATGTGTGCCTTTCCCTCGGAGTGCGTGCGCGCGCGCGCTCCAGAAGACGCGTCCGAGGATGGGTGCCGCGGTGCGGCCCGTTCGGGGGGGAGGCGGATGTCAAGAGCGGCGGCCACCACGAGGCAGGGTCGTCATGCCATTTGGCCGACCTCTCGGCCCCGGCCTCCTGCCCTCTTTCTCGGGGCCCGGGCGGTGCCGATGTCAAAGGGGAGCAGCCCCCGGGCGGGCGGGGGGCTCTTACCAACGCACATACACGCAAGCTACCGAGGGGGGGGGGGCGCCCCTCACGGCGCCGGTGCCTGAGCTCATTCCGTCCGAAGGAATGGTCCTCGCCCTTCCCCCGCCCCCTCCCGGGGGGGGGGGGGGGGGGATGGCCCAGGGCAACCTGGCGGGCGAAGCCAGGACACGGGCTGGCCGGGGGCGCGCCCACGCACCCTCGCAGGCATCCCTCCCGGAGGAATCCCCCGTGCCCACCCTCCCGGGGGGGGGGCCCTAGGGTCGTGCGCGCCGGCGCGCGCGGATATTGAGCTGACTTACGACAATCCGCATTCCGGGGGGAATTCCAGCGCCGCCGACTCATCAGGTCGGCCGCGGGGAGCGCCGCTGCGCGTCCACACGCAACGGGGCGGAGAGAGCTGCGGGGGGGGGGAGGGGCGGGGCCTCATTGTGCCGGAGGGACGCGTCCCGGGTGTCTCGGCCCTCCACGCGTGCATAGGGGGGATGATACCAACGAGCCAGACACACGGAGGGGAAGGGCTGCCAGTCATCCGGGCTGGGTGGGGTGGGCGTGCTGGCGGGGCCTGGCGTTCCGCCCTGCCCCCCCCCCCCCCCCCCCCCCCCCCCCCCCCCCCCCCC